CGGCGGCGGCGGCAGGAGTTTCCCCGACAGCTGGAGGTTGCGGCGGTGGCTCCTCCTCCGCGGGTCCCCGTTAGAGGCGAGAGACCCCCGCGCTCCTCCTTATTGACAAATACACAAAGGGCCGCGCCGGGGCCGGGCCGGGGACGCGTCTGGAGGCGGCATGGGAGACAAGAAGAGCCCGACCAGGTAGGGCAGCGCCGCCGCCTTCCCGGGGCCCGCTCGGGTGCGCGGGGCCGGCGGCGATGGCGCCCGGGGGGGCCGGTGTCGGGCGGCGCGCCCCGCGCTGCCCCGCGTGCTGTGTCTCTGCAGGCCGAAGCGGCAGCCGAAACCCTCCTCGGACGAGGGCTACTGGGACTGCAGCGTCTGCACCTTCCGCAACAGCGCCGAGGCCTTCAAGTGCATGATGTGCGACGTGAGGAAGGGCACCTCCACACGGTGAGTCCCCGCCGCCGGCCCCCGGTTCGCGAGGCGGCGGCGGCCCTGACGGCAGCGGTGCCGCGTTCGGCGGGGGGTTCCCCCCTCCCCACTGCCAGCTAACCGTGCCCCAGGCGGAACTGCGGCGTCCTGTTCTCTTCGAACCGTCAGAAGGCACACGGTGACCTACCTGGTTCCTGTCCCTCCTGACGTGCCGCGCAGTGTGACACCGGGGGAGTGGGGGCTTTATGCAGCCAGCGGGACTGCTGGCCGGGGAGAGCGTTATTGAAGGATCCTTTGTTAGGGTATCGAGCTTATTGCTTTGTACTGTCAGCCGGAGAAGTTTGAGTGGCAATAAAAGTTGCGATCCTATGGTGAGTGGCAATTGCGTTTCAAATAGCATTCAAAACAGCGCTGAATATGACTTGCAACAAATGTTACACATTTGAATTTGTAAGTGCAGATGCGTGGTGAGAACGATGCATCTCTATTTCTGAAGTTGATTTCCTGGAGTTCTGCAAACCGGAGCGCGTGTTGGAAGTACTCTCGTAACTTCAGCTTCGAATATGTATATATATGTCATAAATAAGGCAATCAGTGAGGTAAATGTGCTGAGAGGAATTTCATCTGTCACATACAGCGTGCTTTCCAGTAATGAGTGTGGCGTTCTGTTGTATCGCAGGTAGATGTGCTCCAACTGGTAACATTCAGCAAAATAAGGGGATGAATGTAAGCTCAGGAAAGCAGCACGGCTGAAGGCTGCAGCCATCCTTAGGCTCCAGCCAGTCTTATAGACAAAGTGACTTCAAAATTATGTTCTGCTGACCCGGAAACTCAGTTGGATGAGAGCACTAAGACAAAACAAACAAAACAAGCAGTTCTCAGATACCTATGTCACCGTAGCCTTTTTTCCCCTCCTTCTTGAATATTTTATAGGTTTTGAACTATGACACATTTTGAATGTATTTTAGGAACAGTGATTTTTTTCTTTCCGTTTTCTCCTTCACAGTGTTCTGATATGCAGAGTTTTATCTGATACCTTCATTTTTATTCCTGTGTTTAAACTCCGAAACGATGCGTGGCTGACGGGGTTTGTGGATGTAATTTTCCCATTCGGTTTAAATTGGGTCGTGTGTTTATGTGGGTTTGAGGTCTGGGATGCAGGGAGAGGTTTTAGACCAGGCAGTTTTAGGTGCAGCTCTGAGCTGAGATGTGAACTGGTAAGTAAAGCTTTGTATCTATGGAGAGAGGAATCTTTAGGGTGCCAAGGAGACACAAAAGGCTGTTTGGGTGGATTTATTTATTTATTTATTTAAAGGAAGTGAAGTCCAAGACACCAAATTGGGGCCCTATTAAACCATTCACTCTTACCACCCTTAGAATTAGACATTTTTGTCATTTTTGTCAGTGTTGTTCAGAATAACGATACCGTGGAGTTCTTATGGCACTGGGAATGTTGGTCTTTTTTGTCTTCCATTTTGAATCTTAATTTTTGTATGGATGGAGGCGATGCTTCAGCGCAGTTCTTAAGTGTGCACTGTTTCTTACTTCCAAATTTCAGAGGTTTTTTTTTAAATTAGTGAAATCCATGTCTACTAGACATAGTAATGCCTCTGTGATGTAAGCAGTGAAGTAAATCACCTTTTTTTAGTTCAGAGAAATCTGTTTTTTTGTGATGAACTGTTTGATGTCTGCTTCTGAGTGTTAAAATTCGCTAAATGTGAACAGATTTGCAGATGGGAAACCAGGCAATCACAGTCAAGTGTAATGCTTTTAAAGGCCACTGGAAATTAGGTTAAGTTGATTAAAACTCGCATGTTTTTATACTAATTGTGTACAGTTAATTTCACAGAATCATACTCAGGTGCAGAGTCAGATTTATGTGTGATTTCACTGTTGAACCATTTTCCTCTCTCCAGAAGAGTTACCTTTTATGCTAAGGGCTAGGTATGGATTATGATCTTTAAAACTGATGGCACTTTTAAGATTAGAGGGAATAATTCTTAAAATCCCTCAATCATATTTTGTTATACTTCTGAAGGGAGCTCTCAGGTATGGACTTGAATTAACTTTTTCCATGGTAGTGTCACTGTGGATGATTAAACTGTGTTGTTCTTGGATGGGAGACATCCAAGAGAAGTCCTGGGTGCTGCAAGAAAGGACTTAACAGACTCCCAAGGTGGCACTCTTTTCTTTGGGTTTGTAATGAACCAGTGCCCAGCATGGAGCCAGTTAGATGTGCTGTGAGTCAGATGGAAAGCTGAATCCTATCTGCTGGTTGGAAATCCCTGTATGTTTTACTGGAGAACTGCTGGTCGACTGAGGATCTAAATTTTCATGTAGACATGGCTTTCTTATTTACTTTCTAGCCTAAATTGTTCTGTATCTTTGCTTGGGTACTGATAAATTACTGTGTTCCTCTTGATAGGAGGCTGTGCTGAGTATAGTAATTTTCTATATGTGACCTTTAAAACATTTTGAAGTCTTTCTAGGTGAAAGATGTTGTACAAATGAAAGGAACCTAGAGCTGTAATAATCCTTCATTTCTTGGACAGATCTCCTGCTGAAGTTCATTAGAGGTATGAGTAAAGAAAGCTGAATAGAACTCTAACATGCTGTGTTGAAGAGGGCACTGGTAACCGTCTCTGTATTTAGGTTGCCTAATAGTTTCCATTAAAAAGAATTTGTATGATCTCTTTGTGAAACCCTATTGTTTGCAAAAGCCATTGAAGTTTGGCAAGAGGAAGAGTCCTCAGGCTAAATAAGTGGTTTGATTTCTCTGCCCCATGAAATTAAGTTTTCCTGAGACATAAACACTTGAAAATCATCATTTCCCCTATGTCACTTGTGTTGTACAGGAAAGTAAAGTAATTGCTGGAACACTGAGAAGGCCTGGGCTTCTGCAAAAGCGCCAGTGGCAATGATATTTTCAGTGCTGAAAAGTCAGAAATGAATTATTTGGCTCCCAAGGAGGTTATAGCAGGGTTGCTGAATGTGGTCCAGCCCTTACAACTGCTTGCTTTCCCAAAAGAAAGCTGTTTTAGTGGGCTTGCTACCATTCCATTTCCGTCTGTGCTTCATGGCACTGTCTGAAACAGGAGCACTCCGGTACTGGTTGAGCTTCAAGAGCTGGGCTGGGTCCTTGGACAAACCATATTGCAGCAAGTGTTAGCTCCCAGTTTGTCTGTTCTTCAGTAATACGGTTTTTGTTTTTCTTGCCAGTTCTTAGTTCTTGTCATTCAGGCATGTTGCAAGCTACCAAAGGTTCAGAATTCCAGTCTTGCTGGGAAGAAGCAGTTAAGAGGATTGGCATTCTCAGTAAGGGGATGTACATCTCGTGCCTTCTAAGAGGCTGAAATACCTCTCCATCACATCTCTGCTCCTTCTTTCTCATATCCTATTAACGCACCTGTTACTCAGTGGCAGCATCCAGATCTAAACTTACCTGTCATATTGCTTTCCTTAGTTTGATTCCTAGGCATGTGTATTGTGATCTGGTCTCTACTTACATGATCCCATTCTTTCTGCTATGCTATGACAAACTGCTTGTCCATTCAGTGTAAAAGACGAGCATGCAGGGGAAGGTGAGGAGCGTCACAGGAAGAACTGCAGATCTGGCTTTTTAACCTTTGAAATGCTCAATGTGATACTCTGCTGTGCGCATGAAAGAAAACGGGAGTGGGGTACATGAACAGTTTTTGCTTTCTAAACTAAAATAAAACTGAGATAAAATTGTGTGATTTTTTAAAAAATTATTTTTAATTAAGAAAAAGAGCAGACTACCGGGATATTTTTACTAATTGCATTCCCTGTGCTACTAAAAGGAGAAGGATTGCTGTACAAAAGTGTAGCTACTTAATGCTTGTTATGCTTTTATTTCATTTCATTGTTAAAGCTTTTCCTTGCTTGCTTTGGGTTCAGTAAGACTTCATAGCCTTAACTATGAATCTGTGAGTCTAGCGCACACGGTTCTGAAGTATTTTTCTTTTGATGAGGAGGAAGAGAGAGAGAATAAGGAGATAAAACATGTACAAGTGACTTCTGTGGAGTGATTTTTTTTCCTAGATATTCTTCTGTGATATGTTGGTCCAGCTGCTATATACATCATTTACGTAAAATAACCTCTGAAATTTGCAGCCAGAATGAAGTCATCTCAGGTCAAGGTGAATTTCTGTGGAATCAGGATGCCTGCATTTAACGCCTTGTGCTTCTGAAGCAGGGACATATATAACAGCTGAATAGGGCATGGCTTCCACATCCTGAGCTCTATTGATCTCCCTTACTGAATCGTTTTCTCAGCCTAACATACAAAAAGCCAGCTTTAAATCATGACAGACAAAAGAGTTAATCTGAGATAGAAAGAACTCGAATGCCATCTTTGTATGCTTTCTTGATATTTGTGCGTGCTCCTTCATTGTGCCTTAGAGTGTGACCATTCAGTACGTGCATTTTCCGTGTCTGACAATCTCCTAACTATGAGATACAGGTCTTTACTTGAAGCTGTCATTAGTTTGTTTTACGCCTTGAGAAGCATAAATAAAGTGCTTAATTTTTTAACTTGGATATCAAGGTCATTTTTCTCCGGGAAATATGTGCAATTTGTTTAGTCATGTACCATCTGGATGTTTATAAGTACAAATCAGTTACATTTAACAAATCTGGTATTTGTATTTCTGTTGAAATGCCGTGCTGCTCAGGAGGAGGAATTGCTTCTTATCTGGTATATCTGGTTTAACATGTCTGTTTTACAGCAGCTTGTTAAGGACTCTCCTCTGCCTTCCAGCGTGCAGCCTCTGTGCGGGCACGCATGCGCATGTCATGGGGAAGGTTGTGAAGGAGAAAAAGAGGAAGAACCGCCTGTCGTGCTGATTTCACAAATACACGGCTGAATCGAGCTTAAACTGGAGAGCGTTTCATTACTCGTGGTAGTTAGAGAAGAAAACATTTGCAGCTGTGAAGTGAGTGGAAAAGTCCTATGTAATCCATGCTTTACTGAGCTCTGTATTACAAGTCTTATATTT